AAAAGTAATTAATATTTAAATGTAAAAGTAAACTGCTTTTTTATGAGACTTACTTTTACTTGTAAAAGTAAGTGTGCCCGTGATCTCCGAGATATTCATGCTGCAGAGATTGACCAAAGACACGGCTTCCCTTTCATATTGCTCGAAATTGGAGCGAACTTGCTGTATTTAACGCTTCAAGGAGTTGTACAGTTTTTCAACCATATCTAAATCAAGCTTGACGGACTGCAGTTTCTTGTTAACTTTGTTGAACTTCTCCATGATTCTTTTCCAAATGATTATTAAAATACCTGTCTCAAGTTGTTCCATTTTGGTCAAAAGTCTGAATCCTTCCGCTCTTGTTTTTGCTTTCTGAGTAGGATCGTCGTTAAGATCAAGAAAAGCCGTCTGTATAGACAATATTTGTTAATAAGTATTCACAAACACAAATAAAATAAGTTTTTATTTGATTTTCTGAACAATTCTTAATCACCTTGTAAATAGAATAACTCTATTACTCTGTATTCACTTGATATAATATTAAATATATTTCTTTTTTCACCATTATACTCGAACTCGAAAACTATTTCAATTCATTAAAAAAAAGTCCAATTTGCAATACATCGTATCCGTTAGCTTATTGCAAAGATTAAAAATCTCTGGGACATGAGAGAAACTTGAGGATAGAGGCCGACATTAATTTTTCTTTCAAATTATGTATCCTTTAAAAAATTCAATTAGATACTCTGGCCCCTTAAACTCCGTGGCCTTCCGGCACGTGTTCGGTGTGTCCGTGGGTTAAACCGGCACTGATTGATGCGTGTTTATCGAGACAAATAAAATTAAATGGAACCGTCAAATTTCAAAAAGTTTATTTTTAAGAGGAACTTTAAGTTTAATGAATGGAGATGAATGGGGATAAATGGTGCTAATATGTATTTTAAAAGGTATTTTAAACATTGAAAAAACAAATAAACTTTTTTTATAAAATGGAAACTCTAATATGTATGGTTTTTAGGTATGTGATGGTATATACTTTTGAGCCAACAGCCATCAGCTAAACTTTTTACTCATAAAAATCAGTCTCTGAATTTAAATTGTAGAACTAACTATTTGGCAATATTCCAGCTAACTTCTAAGCTATTTTATATATATATATAAGCATGAAGTATCTGTTTAAAACATCATTAACTTAAAATTTAAGTTAATGTATATATATATATATAAATATCCGATTATTTATATTTCACGCATGGTTTTTTGTGACGGTATTTGGAACCTTTGATGTTTTCAAGCGTTGCACTTCCATCTATAATACTTCCATGATTATACACAAGCTCAAAAGACAAGCTAACGCGAAAAACATCTACTTTTGATATTTTACAAAAGTAATGTTAGTAAAAGTAACATATAACATATAACAGCTTGACCGTTTTATTGTTTGTCTTTTTTTTTAAAAAAAGCGCCATTATTAAATTGACTATAAAAACTTGATTGAAAGATGTGCATATTTTACTTGTGGGTCTTTATTATTTTGTATTATATGTTGAAATATTTAAGGAATACCAAAATATTGCATTGGATCAAAGAAATGAATTTTATAAAACTATAACTATGAAAATTATTGCAATAAAAAATTTTCGAAAATTTCCGAAAATTTTGTGCGAAATTTGCCGTAAATTTTCAACCTTAGCGGCAACATCTCGTTAATTTTAATTTATAGAATTTATTTATCATTTTGTAAAGTTTTTTTGTTTAATTAAGTAGTCTAAAAAACTTTTGCAATTTATACACCTTACTTGCAGAAATGGTTAACTCGCAGAGTTTCTGATGCAAAGCGCCATGGTTCAAATGCTACCAATGGCCCTTTTTTTTCATAGCAACATTTTATGAATAAATATTTATGTAAAAGTTAGTTTAATAATAAAAATTAAGAGTGTATTAGTTTTAATGAGACATTTGATATGTCTTTAAAAATTTATTTCAAGCAAAATATCTTTTAAACATTTTTACTTTTAAAATAAATGTGTTTGCTTTTATTATTATTTTAGTTTTCTTTTTGTATCCAGATAACGAAAATCGAGCAAAATATAAAAAAACTATCTAACAAAAATGTAATTAAAACAAATCTTTTTAAATCAAAACAAATATCAATGGACTACTAAAGTGACGTCACATTCCATACAAGACCTTCTATTTTAGAAGGCCTTGAATATTTCCATAAATAAATAAGTTTCCAGCCACATTCACGACACTTATTTAAATTAAGCTGAGTAAAGAAAGGAACTTAACAATTCTCTGCAATTAAAAATAAAAAAATACTTAAAAAGTCTATGGATCACACATGCCTTAACCACTTTTAAGTTTTGTGATTTGACCCCACCCATTGTTATACATTGTTGGATTCGTTACAATGAGTAGATTTAGGTTTGATATGTCACCGAACTCATAAAATTTCTTTTAGCAAAATATTCATGTTTTAGGGGCCAAAAGGGCCCAATTTTGGATTTTTCTCCGTATTCATCGAATTTTTTTTTTATAATAAATTTATATAAAAATTTATCAATAGTTCAGAAGCTATAGGCATTTAAGATGTGAAAATGAGTAATAAATATTATATATTGTTTGGATAAGACTGTCATGAATGTCATTTTTAAAATTCATTACATATATATACAAAAACATTAACTAATGTTTTATATTTTTTAGATTCTGTTTATTATTAAACTTAACATACTTCTGTGACATTAGCACAAAAAAGTTATAATTAAATAAAGTTAAAACATAAAAATATTTTCAGAAGTATTTGCAATATTTATAAGGTTTTTTTCGTTAAAAATGATAACGGCTTTTGTTAATGTTTAGAAAAAGAGCTGTTACTTTTGGAAACTTTGAATGCATTCCAAGGTTCATTAACAAAGCTTTAATAAATTGCTTTAACAGCTTGTTCTGAGCAGCAGCCTAATTCACGCCATCTCACTGCACAAAAAATACATGTTTAAAAATAAAATGACTTTTCAATCAAACATTTGATAATCTTCAACCAGTGTTCAGTGTTCAGTCTTCAAGTGTTCTGTAGTGATTTTCAAAATGTGTTTGAAAATCATGATGAAGTTTATGTTCAAAACAAGACTCAACCAAATTGGTAAAAACTCTAAGCCCTTCTGCCTATGGTTTTAAGTTATTTAGCAATGCACACATGCACTTATCATAATTTTTAAGGATTTTACGGGAGGAGTCGCCATTAAAGGCATTATTCTGGACCTCTTTTAAAATATTTCAAAATCATTGACACTTTAGCAACTTAGTTTTTACCACCACATTTCTCTATATCGTTATAAATATGATTAACAGCTCCCTCCATTAGATGTAATTCTGTTGAGAAAAGATAATCTGCACTAGGTGGTCGCTGGTTTCTGCGTTTGTCAATCGAGGATTAATAACGTTGCAAAGTTCTTTAGCCTTACGTTTTATTGCACCTGATTGAGAAACTTTTGTGTATTGTTCCTCTAGAGAACCAAAAGTTCTAAACTTTTGTTCTTTAAATGGTTGCATTTGTTACAACTTGCATATATGGCAATGCTGTGTAGCCATAGCACTTGGAGATAAACCACACATTATTTGACAAAGCTTAAGATCAGCTACAAATGAGTGCTTTATTTTATCTAAATTGAGACAGTTTATTAATATAGAAATATTGTAGTGACTTTCACTAACATTCGGAACTAAAGCTAGTAAAAAAGAAGCTTTTACAGAACCTTTTTTATATTTTGAATTCTGAGGTTCTTCATATGTACTCATTGTAGTTTCATGATTCTTTTCTCAAGTTAATTTGACAGTAGGTTCAAACAGATATAAAATAAGAAATTTTTTATTTTTATAAAATGTTGTACCTTTTTTTTTTTGTTTTGACTGAATCATAATTCCTATAAATATATTTAGAATGAAATTATTTACCTTCAGAAAGCCTCTTCTCCAATACCAAGTTTGATTGTTTGATTGCTTAACTTCTCTTCTTTAATCACAATAAGCAACTCTACAAACTCCTCAATATTGGCCCACTTAATAATAGGGACATTCTACTTTATTTTTAAGTTTTCTTTTTTAACATCAAGTTCTTAATAATCATTTATAAATAAATCTTTAAGTGCACCATCAATTACAGGAAGTGCTTTTTGCAGGTTTGCTTGTATGCAAGTTTTCTCTTTAATTGATGTTCAATTCAAATAATTTTTATTTAAATTAAGGTTAAATAAAATAAATTGGAAAACATACTACTTCTTCTTGTTCAGGTTCTTCCACGTAAATTAGTTAGTTTGCATAACTTACAGTGATGAATAGTAGAATTTCTGGTTAAAGGTGTTACAACATTTTTAGTCCAGTCTATCACTAAATCTGGCAAGTATTTATTTTCACGTATATTATTTCTACATTTATCACATATGCTAAGTGGATTTTTTGAATCATTGCAATCTAAATCAAAAGTGGGCACTTACTCTTTAATCGCTTGCATATTTAATAGTCATGATGTTTTGTGGACACAAAGTATCATGTTAATTTTTTTTTTTTTTTTTGTCCTGCATTTGGGTAAAAATTCCTAAATTGGCCCCTAAAACTTTTTGGTTCCTGAAACCTAAATATTTTGCTAAAAGGAATTTTATGATTTCGGTGACATATCAAACCTAAATCTACTCATTGTAACGAATCCAACGATGTATGATAATGGCCGGGGTCAAATTGCAAAACTAAAAAGTGGTTGGAGGCATGTGTGGGACGCAGCGGTCTTGTTTAAAAAGATTTGTTTCAGAATTTAGAAAGAGTTGACAAATAAAAAAAAAGAATAGCCTTCTTAAATGAACTAGCTCCTTCTGGTGCCATGAGTGAAGTGAGTTTTAAATAATAATAAAAAAAAAAACTCCAAAGAAAAACCATCTTTTTTCCGACAGGAAAACCAAAAGTAAGTTTCTTCAAACTTTGACTTATGCTTCCCTGAAGCCGAAGGAAAAAAAAAAATCGTGAAAAACATGAAAATGATGTAATATATAATCTACGAATAAATATAAGGAATATAAAAAAAAAGAAGTAACGTGAATTCGTAACATATTAGTCTAATGTAAAGCGTCCAAATTGCTTCTCGCGAAACGCCTTTACAAACATAATCGAACATTTTCGGTAGTCGGGATCGCCATTATCTAAATTAAAAAAAAAGCTTTAAACTATCAAAACAAATTTTAAAATACAACAGAAAACCTTGCACCTGACTACCTCACAACAGTGCACTTGACTACCTTACAACCTTGCACCCAACTCCCTCACAACCTTGCACCTAACTACTACACAACTTTGACAACTAACATCAATTTACATTTTAGTAACCAACAATGATATTGTAGATGCAACACTGAAATACTCACATTTTCTAAGATTGTATTTAGAAGCCAAACTCTTTATTACTTCATCGAACTCATCGCAAGGAGATTCCAAACCACAAAAATCTAAATATCTAAAAAAAATTTAATTTAATACATTTAAAGGCCTTATAACGTTACAGCAACGGGAGTATTCTAATACTGCAATTTCATATTATAAACCGAAAGTATCGCTCCAAGAATATCCTTTGAGATATGAATGTATACATTTGGTAGGATCACCAGACAAAATATTAAAATCTTCTAATTTTGACCAAGATTTTTAAAATTTTTAAAATTTTGGTAATAGACATAATTAATTAGCAAGTTTCAAATAAGATTTTTTCTTCACCAAGAATGTAAAAATTATACTCTTGGTATATGTTTTTCATTCTGACGAAGAATGGAAGGTACCTGGATTTTTACTTCACAGAATTATCAGTTGGGTTTAGTAGATTCTCGCTAAACAAAAACTAAAATCGGAGCCACTCCTAAATTGAGAATATGATGATTTTTTTATTATATAATAGTAATAAATTTTTTACCGTCATAATCTTGTTGTCTTAGGTGCTGCAGATAGCAGCATCTAAGATATTTAATGATATCTATCATTAAATATCACTTAAGTGATATTTAATGATAGATATCATCAAATATCATTTACCCTGTAAAGCTTAAGTAATCTTATAATTTAAAATTATAACAATATTGTGTAAGGCTGACGGAACAGGCGGAGCTTAGGTAACTTCAGCCCCTTCACTTTTAAAAATGTAGGGGGCTTTGATATTACAGCTCCCCTCCCCCTTCCTGTCCACCAACCTTTAAGTCTATTATTTCAAAATGTTTAATCGTGATAGTAGCAAATGACGCCAAATCAACTAAAAACTACTGCAAAATTAATATTATTTAAAAATAAATAATTAAAATAATAACAGTTATAAGTTAACAGTTGTGTTACAATTTAACAACATTTTACCCTAATGGTTAAAAAAATATTGAAGCAATTAAAATTAATTTAATAAAACTTGAAAAATATTATAAGCACCCTACTTTCTTATTATTTCCTTTCCCCACCCCTGTGTTAATGGATTATTTTTGTTAAACTTTTTAATCAAATTTTGATATTAAATTGTCTCGGTCTGACATCATTGTCATGATGTCAGACCGAGAGTACCACACTGAACAATATCAGACTGTCCGGGCTCTCATCAAAAAGATATGGGTTGAGGACATTAAAAAAGTTCTGCATCAACTTGTGTAGTTTCCCTGCATCAACAAATCGTTGATACTGATGGGATAAACTACCAAAGGTTCTAAATTCTCCTAACTTTTGCACCAATGCAATAAGCACAAGCACATTTCCAATCACGGGCAGATAATCCTAGCATGATATTGATAAGATCTGATGCAAGGAAGTACTTCCATTCATGCATTTTGAGAAGGTTGCCAGGAAAACTTTCTTTGGTAGCCATGCCTTTAACAAGGACCTGATGTTAATAAAAAACTCAAAGTCCTCTCACTAGGGCATTATTTTGGGGCACCAGCTTTAGCAACATGATCTTTGATTTTATTGCCATTTTCTTCAGTGTTAAACTTTCCCTGGACCAGCAACTCCTCATATCTTCTAACTAATTTCATACAACTTTGTTATCAGGTGTCTGTTTATCCTTTACTTTCAGGAAACATTTTATTACAGTTTTAGCTTTGTATCCATTTTTGGAACTTGGTTTTGTCAATTTGTGCTTCGATGCATTGGATGCATTGTAAACATTTTCTTTTACTTGTAACAGCTGCTTCCAAAAACCTTTTTCTTGAGCATTGTAGAAAACTTTTTTTATTTTTCTTGTACTCCATCTTTATTCTAAACAAAGCGACAAATACAAGCTAAAACAAAAACTTGTTAAAACCAAAACTTATCAATACTCTTAAACTTTGATTTTGTATAGATGCTAAAGAGATTCGAATGTTTTAGATCGAACTATTAGGCACTATTTACACAATGAAAATTACACTTTAAAGTCTTCTATTTCAATCTATACACCAAAGTTAATATCAAACTGCCATAAAAGGTCTTTTTTATAAAACTTTTTATAAAATTTTTTTTATTAGAAGCACCTTGTATAAACATTTTGTTACATTCTGAATGTTATGAATCTAAAATGACAATAAAAAACTATTGGAAAAATTTACAAACGCAATATGTTCATTAATTTTGTTTTTTATACTTAACTTTGTAGAAAGGCTTTTATAATTTACATTAGGCGCTGTTAATTCTAATTTTTTAAATTTAAGAAAAAATAAAATAATGATTCAAGGATTGGATTATTAAAAAATCTTTTTTTTTCTAAACTTAGAGCAATTTTATTTTCCTTGCTTCAACCTTCTACTCTATAGATACATCCACAAATAATTATTTCAGAATCTGTACAAACTGAGCACCATATTTTACTTAATATTGTTTCCTTATGTAAAAAACCATAAGTCAAAATTAAAAAAGACATCAATAAATCACTAATTTTTACTTATGTGTTATATACTGATCTCTGTAATAACTGGATAGCGCATCTCCTAAGAAAATAGCGTATTTTTTGAAGCCAATTTATTTTCGCCAGCGCCATATTGGGAGGTCCCACGGATAAAATTTGTTTATAAGAAATATTATGATATTTCTTTTTTTAGTTGCTTAATTTTACTTTTTTTTATATAATATAAATTCAAATTTAATTAAATATAAGAAAAATTTTTATATCTAGTATTATTTACTATTATAGTATAAAAATATTACAATGTAATATACTATATTGTATATATAATTATATATATATATATATATATATATAGGATATTATATTTATAATTATATATATAATATAATTTATAATATAATATATATTAATTTATATATTATTTGTAAATTAAAAATATTATTAAAGATATTCTTTAAATGTCTGGAAAAAATTCTGTAAAGCGAGGGTCACAATGTTGTGCATTTGGTTGCAATAAGAGAAAGCATGGTGGTGGTACAAGAAGTGATAGCGATGGACCTTCTGATAAAGAATCATCACTAAAACGAAAAATTTCCTACGTTTCATAAGTAACTTTCTTAATTTTTCAACTTGTTTACTTAAGTTTGTTTACATAATGTAAGCAAACTAATGTAAATTACATTAGTTTTTTTACATTATATAATATATAGTTTTACAACCAAGGGAGAATTATACAAAAAACTTAATTAAATATTACACACTTTTACTACTTAATTCTATTCAGATTTCCTTCTAACACTGAAAAAAGAAAAGAATGGATCAACAGAATACATCGTCAAGAATGGAGTCCAGGAGTTAGCAGTTTGATATGCTCTGATCATTATTTGGAAAAGGATATTGACAGAACTGGACAAACAGTTAGGTTAAGGCAAAATTCTTTGCCAAAAAGATTTTAAAATTTTCCAGACCACTTAAAAAATTTTCCAGACCACTTAAAAAAGGTAAATGATCAACCATGGTTTTATTTATATTCTAGAGGCTATTTCTATATGTACCTATGTTCTATATGTACCTTTAAGTTTTTAATTACCCTATGCAGTGTGCTAGAGGGTTTATAACACAACTGTAAGGTAAGCAGCTAAAACACTGTACTTGTCATAACTTACTTTGATGAGTACATGCTATCATTTTATAAATGCTGCATGAACTATTAGCTAAGCTCTGTGAGTAAACACAACTTAGAAATTCCTTCTAGTAGTACGATATAAAAAATAAAACAAATATATATATATATATATATATATATATATATATATATATATATATATATATATATATATATATATACATATATATGTATACATATCTTATGTATTTTTTAGACAACGAAAGAGAGAAAAAGTCCTACTGAAAGATGTATTTTTAATTCTGAGATAAGTGATTCTGAAACTAGTATTTTACCTATCTGCATAAAATTTAGCTCTCCTACAAAAACATGTAATTCCATTTTAACACCAGAAAAACTGTTAACAGATCGAAGAATCAAGATCATTCAGTCTTTAAAAAAAAAGGTAAAAGCAGAGCAGCAAAAATCTAGAAGAATGAAAAAATATATAACGTCTCTTAAATCAGTCATAAAAATACTACATCAAAAACACAAAACATCATCAAATTGTGAAGAAATGCTATCAAAAACAGTCCCCCTTGCTGTAGCCAGAAAGAATGATAAAAGGAAAAAACAACAATAAGGGATGTCAATATTCAGAAGAAATTAAATCCTTTGCACTTACCCTACAGTTTTATTCAAGTAAAGCTTACGAATATGTGCGAAAAACATTTAATTTTAATTTACCACATCAATCACAAATCAGAAAATGGTATGGCAAGGTCTCAGCAGAACCAGGTTTTACAAAACCAGCATTTGGAAACAAATTAAGACTGGCACATGTCAATTGAAGGCAACAGAAAATGAAAGTCAATCTTGCTGCTCAAGCAATTAGTTCAAGTGTAGCAAATGCAATAGAGTTTTGCTGCAAAGATCTTAAATTGATACAGTTTCAAGGAAGTGAAGCAACTGTCAATTTTATTAGAATATTTGATAGATTATTTGACATTTTGAACTCACGAAACCCATTTGCCAAAGGTTATCACCATTAAAAATGAGTAATAATCATTTGTGGGATAAATTTCTTGACGAAGCATATGAATACATTTCAAATTTAAAAGACTCGTCTAAAAAACTATTGCATACAACCAGAAGAAAAACTGGATTCATTGGATTTTTAATGGCAATTAAAAGTGTTAAACAGGTTTTTAAAATATTGTAAAATTATAAAAAATAAAAATGACTTATATATTTATATATATGAATATATATATATGAATATATATATATATATATATATATATATATATAAATATATATATATATATATATATATATATATATACATATATATATATATATATATATATATATATATATATATATATATATATATATATATATATATATAACATACAAGTTAAGACCACCTTGAGTTGTTTTTTGGCTCAATCCGAGGATCAGGAGGATTTAACAATAATCTAACAGCACAACAATTCACTGCTGCTTATAAGCGACTTTTACTTCAAAACCATATTGAAGGAGGCTCAATGAATTGTGAAAAACTAAACACTGCACAAATTTTAAACATCTTAGACGATTCTGTTACGGTAAGCAATGAGAGCATAGATATAACCTCAATAAGCATAATGACAAAATACGACCTTTCCGAAAGACCAGCTAAGCTAATTGATCACGATTATTCTTTTATTTGTAATATTTCATTGCTAACTGAGTATAAAAAGGCAGCTATTTCTTATATATCAGGTTTCGTTGTAGGAATGGTAAAAAAACAAATTTTTTGTATGTTATGCTGTAATGCACTTGGTTCTAAAAACCATGTTCCAGAATCTAATTTTCTTAAAGTAAAAGATAATGGTGGCCTTATAAAACCAAAAAAAGATGTTATTTTTGTTTGTGAAGAAACTGAAAAAAAAATTGCGAGAATGCTAGCAACAATACCTGGAAAACTGCCACATTCCAAGAACATCCCAGAAGCTATATCTATTTCAGTTTTAGAAGACTTAGGTTCTGATATATTTAATAATTTGGATGAACACATGTTTGATACTGGGATTAATGAAAATCACGTGTTTAAGTTAATTAAAATAATTTCTCACTGTTATTGCAAAGTGAGACTATATGATCTTGGAAAACAAGCCACTGAGAAAGTGGCAGGAAAAAATATTCAAAAAAAATTTAGTAAATTGGTATTATTTAATTACCAATAAAGACAAATTTTACATGTTTTATTGTAAGCATATATATATATATATATATATATATATATATATATATATATATATATATATATATATATATATATATATATATATATATATATATATATATATATATATATATATATATATATATATATATATATATATATATGCTTACAATAAAACATGTAAAATTTGTCTTTATTGGTAATTAAATAATACCAATTTACTAAATTTTTTTCGAATATTTTTTCAGCTTGTACTTTAATTTTTCCTTCTGCTTACATTTTTTAGTAATCATTACCAAGAATTTTTTAAACACATGCAATAACTTTGTATTTAAAGAAGATATAGTAACTTTATTTTCTATATATATTAAGTGTAATAACGACTATAATAATCTTAAATAATAACTTACTTTTAGAAATATTGTAGATAGCATATTACTATTTATTATTATAGCTTATTACTAATATTATTAGCATACAATAAAGATTACTAACTTACTATTAAGAATTTTATATTTCCAGCTTGTACTTCATTATCATACTTTCTATAATATCAACATAAAAATCTAGAGAAATGATTTAAAGAACACTAATTATTCGTTAGACATTTTAGAACAGATTTTTACTATTTTGCTGATGTTGCGTGTTTTTTTTATTGCTAGATTTGCACAATCCATTTCAATTAATTTTATTATTGCTTTTTGAAAATTTGTAGCACCTTTTACTAAAATATCAATCCACATTATTCACTTTTTTCTTGCTTTTTAAAAAAATTGCAGTTCGTTTTCCTAATATTTTCAACGCATCAATACTTATTTTGGGACCTCCCAATATGGCCGCCAAAAAAAAAATCGGTTTCAGTTTTGATATTAGAAATAGGCTATCCAGTTATTATATAGATCAGTGATTATATATCTATCTGACTGTTAATCTCTTAGATACAAATATCCTTTTTATATTAAAATATTTTTAAATATACCTCTATCTTTATTGTTATGAATATAAGATTTGTGTGCAAAATGAAGAAATAATAGAGTTATTGATAAAAATATCAAAAAATCAAAACCTGAAAACAATTGGTTAGGTCAAAGGCAAAAATAGTTTTTTTCATTTTGGTATCATTAAATATATGTTTTTTTCATTTTAGTGTCACCCATTTGATTCAGGTCATGATGGTGTCACTCAGTGTGGCCCACACTGCCGCATTCCCTAGTGACATCACCCCAACGTCTCATAGTAAAATAACTGATTATGTAAAACTAGCACACTAAACTATCTAAAAATAAATTGCA